CTGAAATCCTATTCCATTTTTGGATTTTTAATCTTGGATCCAAGATTTCGTGAAGCTCATGGCTAAGCTTGGGCTGTGTACCTGCAGGGCAGACCCTGAAGTTGGATTTTGGGGACCCCCGTGAGGGGAGACACGTCACTGATGCTTCCCCAGCTTCCTCTGCTGTACCTGGCAGTGCTTTATCACATGGCTCCATGTCCAAGGGGCGTTTTACTAATCCCACCTTTCCCTTCTGCGTTAGGAATTCAGGACAAAACTCTTCTGTGAAACAACCGTCCCCTGGCAAACAAGTTTTCTTTATTTTTGTATTTATCTAAGTGGGGATAGAGGATTGTTTTATATAAAAACCTTTTATGTGTTGGGGGAGGGGGGGGAATCAAATATGCTACTTCTGTGTGTTTGGCCACAAAGCTTCTCAAAAAGGTGTAAAAGAGGTTTTCCAAGCTGTGTCTGTCCGTCTGCCCCGCTGTTTCCTTGTGGCATCTCCTGTCCTGCGTGTCCCTTCTATAAACTGGCATTTTTTAAAAGATTTTTTTGGGTTGGTTTTTTTTTTCAATAAAAGGGAAGAACAGACATCAAATGTGTCCTGGAGCATCTCTGGGGTGTTTCAGGGGAGGTGGAGGCCAGAGAGGGAATCCCAGTTCACGGAATCATTCCCTCCTGGATTACGGGGGCTTTACTCAGCTCCCCATCACTGACTTCGGCTCTGGGAGCTGCATATCCTTAAGTTTTGGTATTAAAGACTGAGGCAAAGAAGGCATTAAGTCCCTCAGCCTTTTCCTCATTCCCTGACACAGCTGCCCTCCACATCCAGCACAGTATGGAGACTCTCCTTGGCCCTCCTTTTGCTGACTATTTATTTATTTATAGAAACTTTTTTTGTTGTCTTTCACCTCAGTGGCCAAATTAAGTTCCAGTTTGGCTTTGGCCCTTATCACTTTCTCCCTACATCACCTCATACTATCCTTGTGGTCCCCCCAAGGTTTCCTGCCCTCCTTCCACTCTTTTTTTCCCCCGAGTTCCAGCGTAAGTTCCCTGGACAACCAAGGGCAGTGAATAGAGGGCGGTAAAGATCAGGGAGTTTCCTAGTAGTGTCCCTTACCCGGGCCCCAGGGACGCAGCAGAATTCCTTGTGGGGTGGGTCCAGTCGGCTTATCAGGCCCTCCATTTCCCTCGGAAGGGAGTGGACGATTCCCCTTTTTATCCCTTATAGAGCTCGTTGGGGTTGGCTGACTCACCCCAGAGACCCCCCCGATGGTCCTTCATCGTTTTCCTGGCCCTCACTCTCCACACCTGTTCCATAGGGACACTTGGGAAGGTGAGGCCGGCAGGGGCACCCCAAACCTCCATCCTGCTCTTGTGTCCCCTCCTGCCTGTTGGGAGGAGAGTCTCCTCGGGAGCAGCTCCAGCAGTCAATATCCTCCTGAAATTCCACCTTTCCCCCTCCTCTGCAGGGGGCTGAGCACATCACCTGCTCACGCCTGCACAGGTATTGGCCCTCTGGCACCAGGACCAGGCTCTGGTATCCCAACACTTGGATCCCCGCCCATTTCCTTGGCCTCTCCGACCGCCCGATCCGGTTCCCCCCCGCTCCGGGAGCTGCAGGAAGAGGCGGAGCGGGGCGGCCCCGGCGCGGCGGAGACGGTGGCTGGAGGAGCGGGGTCTGCGGAGGGATGCGGGAATGTGGGAATGCGGCGTGTCGGGGCACGGAGGGGATGGGGGGGCCGTGAGGAGTCAGTACATGCGGGGTGTAGGGGAGTCAGGGGTTTGGGGGGCAAGGGGTGTACGGCGGGTCCGGGATGGGGGGGATTTTGTGGGGATCGGTGCATGTGGGGTGCAGGGAAGTCAGGTAAACACCTGATTTGCAGGGGGATCGACAGGGGGGTCTGGGAAAGGGAATGAGGAGGACTGGTGCGTGCAGGGTGTAGGGGAGTCGGGGTTTTGGGGGGTCAGGGATGGGAGGGTCGTTGCATGTGGGATGTAGGGGAATCAGGGTTTGAGGGTGCAGGGCAGGTGTATAGGGGAGTCGGGCCATGGGAGTTCAAGGGGGTACACGGGGAGGGCCTGGGTTTTGGAGGTGGATGAGGGCATCGGTGCATGAGGGGTGAAGGGGGGGTCAGGACGTGTGGGGTGCAGGGGGATGCACAGCGGGGGTGTCTGTCATTGGGGGGTCAGTGCTTTCTGGGCTGTGGGGGATTTGTGCTGTGGGGTGTAGGGGGGGTTGCAGGGACATGGGGGGTGCAGGGTGAGATCCAGGTGGGAGGAGGTGCATGGGGGGATTGGGGCAGGGGAATGCATTGGCATGGGGGCTCTGGCTTGGGGACACTGGAGGAGCTAAAGGAGTTGGAGGCTTGGGAGTACTGGGGGGGCGCAGGGGGCGCAGACCCCTTGGGAACAGTGTGGGAGGTGGGCTTGGGGGCGAAATAGGGGAGCCTTTGCAGCACTGGGGAACAGAGGGACACAGAGACACCACAGACAGGCAGGAGAGTGGGGTGTGACCCCTCCAAGGGGCTGCACTCACAGCCCCCCTCTCCTACACCACTCAGGCCCCAGCGGGAGCCACCATGTTCCAGGCCACCACCCGCCTCAAGGTGAGTCTTCATCCCTATCCCTCCATACAGGGGGGCAGGAGGGCTTTTCCCGGCATTTAACTGTTTACACCTGGCATTCCCACCCTTCCAGCACCAGGGGGATGGGAGGGAGAGCCCCCTACTGCCACCACCATCGGAATCCCTGCTTGTCTCCCCTCCGGAGACGCTGTTCCGACAGGGAAGTGGGGTCACCTACCGCATCCCAGCTCTGCTCTACATTCCCCCGGATGAATCCTTCCTGGCCTTTGCCGAGAAACGCTCCTCAGCCCGGGACGAGGACGCCAAGTACCTGGTGCTGCGTCGGGGCTGCCAGCACGGCTCCTCGGTCAAGGTACAATCCACCCTGTGCTGCAGGAACAACCTGTGTCCGCATCCCTGGGAGTGACGCCGGGTGGTTCCAGGGTGCATCCAGGGTGCAGCGACACTGGTGCACCCCGCGGTTGAGCCCTGTTTCCCTCCTTGCCGGCAGTGGGGTCCGGTGGAGGAGCTGTCGGCGCTGGCACTGCCGGGCCGCCGCACCATGAACCCGTGTCCACTCTTCGATGCCAGGAGCGGCACCATCTTCCTCTTCTGCATCTGCGTGGAGCAGGGGAAGACGGAGCAGCACCAGATCTGGAGGGGGTGCAGCGCCGCGCGCCTCTGCTTCGCCACGAGTGCCGATGGCGGCCGCAGCTGGGCCCCGCTGCGGGACTTGACGGACGAGGCCGTTGGCGCCGACCTGTCCCGCTGGGCCACCTTTGCTGTGGGGCCGGGCCACGGCGTACAGCTGGATTCGGGGCGGCTCGTGGTGCCGGCATACACCTACTACATGCACGGGTGTCTGCGCGGGGCCGCGCGGCTGCCCTGCTCCACCCGCCAGCACTCTCTCGTCTTCTACAGCGATGACGGCGGGCGCTGCTGGCACAAGGGCGCCCTGCTGGCTGGCGAGCGCACGGGCGAGTGCCAGGTAGCCGAAATCCGCGGCGCCCACCCGCCCCTGCTGTACTGCAGTGCCCGCGCGCCACGCGGCTGCCGGGCCGTGGCACTCAGCACCGACCGCGGGCTGCGCTTCCAGCGCCCGACGCGGTGCCCGGCACTGGCCGAGCCACCGCACGGCTGCCAGGGCAGCGTAGTGAGCTTTGCCGCGCCCGCCGGTGCCGCCGGGGCGCCCACGTGGCTGCTCTACTCCCACCCCACCAGCCGGCGCCACCGGCGCGATTTGGGGGTCTATGTGAACCCGTCGCCGCTGGACGGGGCGGGCTGGCGGCGCCCATGGGTGCTGCACGCGGGGCCTGCCGGGTATTCCGACCTGGCCGTGTGTCCTGGCAGAATTTTCGGCTGCTTGTTCGAGTGCGGCACTGCCAGCGCCTGCGAGGAAATCGTCTTCTGCCTCTTCACCCTGGACTCCTCTGATCAGAACCTCAAGGCTTCCTAAAACAGGCCTGTTTTACTCAAGGGGGTCACTCCTGACTGCTGGCATCCTGATCCAGACCTCACCAGCATGTTTTGGATGCTCCAGAGGCTCAGCATCATGTAGCTTTTGTTTAATTTTATATTTAATTATTGCTTTTTAATCACCCAGTCAGATGGTGCTGGTGGAGGATCTGCTGCAGGTTGGCCGAGGGGTGCTGGCACAGCACCCAAAATGCTGCTGCTTCTCCAAAAATCAGCGTTTTTCACCTGGTAGCAGCAAAAAAGTGCCACCAAGAGCAGCTGGTTCCCTGAGGAAGAAGTCCCCTGAAGTCTTGGTTTAAGTTAAAAATGTTTCCAGTTCCTGTGTCCCCCTCATGTGGCAGACAGAATTCCTATTTTTTTAATCCTGTTTTCTTCCACTTGCCTGCTTTGGGCCTGTATTCCCATAGGAAAATGAACTCCAGTCTTGCGGGGATTTTTTTATTCTGCTCCATAGGAATAGGTTGTCGCACCCTGACGGCGACAGCAACCTCACAGTCCCCTGCTACTTGCAAATAAAGTCCTCCCAAAGCAGGTGAAATCCAGCCAGTATTGGGGAAAAAAATGGGGAAAAGTCCTGCACCC